AAGACTTAATTGCAGTTAATAGCTCAGATAAGTGCCAAGAATTTTAACATGGGGTAATCGGCAAGGTTTATTTGTAAATTTTTGTTTTTTCCTTTCGTTTGCTTCTGCTTAATAGGTGGAATTACCACCTTCCAGTTGTAATGTGTTTTTTCCACTAGGCATAAACTGCAGTTAAGGCTTGGGGGAAATCAACTATTATGTTGGGTTTCACCAATCAATTTCGAAATATATCAAACTGTTAAATTTTGAAATAGCAAAATTTTCCAGCAAAATTATTTTATTTTAAATTTAACAGTCTGATAAATTTAATATTGATTGGTGAAACCGGACATTAGCATTTCTATTATTTAATGTTTTGAGAAAGAAAGCAACACATTTCTGGACGCTTTTTTTGACGAAAATACTTTGGAAAATTACAAATTATTTACAATTGTCTAAAAATAGGAAATTCGCTTTTGTTGTCTCATAAAAGAATTTAGTGGTCCAGTAGAAAAACATTATCAGCCTTATCATGAATATTCGGTGAAAAATTTCACCGGGTGACCAGCATTTCACATAGAAATTTCGAAGTTGGGATAATAGCCGTCAAAGCCATTAAATACAATTTCAATTTTGAACACACGTACGAGTATTTCGTACATTAGTGAAAATTTAAAAGCGAAATGTGAACGAGTTCACACAGAATGAAAATTCATGATGTACATATATATATAGGTTATTTTTCTTTTATTTCATTTTTATTGTTTTTCAATTAAAACACAGTTCATTCTCTAACAAAAACCATGTAAACGAAAGTTTCAAATAAAAAAAAAAAAAATCCCAAAATTTTTGTAAAAATTTCAAACTTTTTTTCAGAATATAGAGAATTTTTTTTGTGTGTGCCTTCAATTTTGGTATAATAAAGGGCAAATTTGAAGTAGCTGCAAATTATCGTTGATTTTTAACAACTTTTAACTGACGCTTTTCCGAAATTTTTTCCATATAAAAAAACAAAGCGAATATGTGTTATATAAAAAAAAAAAATGGGGATCAGCATTAAAACGGATTGGGCCACTCAAAAAAACTCCAAAAATTCTGAGGAAAAAGTTTGAAATTTTGATGATTTTTTTTAACCGACTTCAAAAAAGTAGGAGGGTATCAATTTGTTGGAACATTTTTTTTATGTATGTTACCGCATAACTTTGGACCACGTTAACCGATTTCTATAATTTTTTAAAGGAGAAGTCCCATACTAATCATTGGATTATGAAGAAATTAACGGTACTTTTAAATTTTTATATGAGAATTGAAGTCGGTTTTGTTTTTTCCTTAAAAATTACTTGTTAATTTTCTACAAAGTGTGAAAATTTTTTTATATGGTTTTTGTTAGAAAATGAATTGTTGTAAAACTGAAGTTGTAAAATAATGGAAATTAAGTTTAAAAAAAATAACTCAACTCAACACATTCACATGGATGGAAGTGTATTTCTGATTCCCTTTCGCCGTACATCTCAGACAAATGCTTCTTAATTTCAAAAGACAACAATAAACAACAATATAATCAAAACTATAACAATGGCACTGCAGCATAAATTCACAATCCGATGCGAGAACTGGAAAATTCGCAACACATTTTCCTTATCTGTGCACGCCTTCCATTAACTCGCTGCTACTCAAGTTGTCTGCATTTATTGCACTTTGTTGTTGCGTAGAACATTCTCATCGACGGTGTGCAGATTTTTTTTTTTTATGTTTAATCTGAACATTACACAAATAAGCTGCGGAACAAAGTTTATAATTAGCAACCTTTGGCTGAACCGCACGGGCCATGGCGCACAGTTCCCAACCGATAGAAGAGCAAGAGGAAGAGCTAAATAAGCGGAAATACGAGTACTCGTACATATTTCTAATCTATTTGCGCTACCCAAGCGTGTAATTCGAAGAAGTTTTCTGCATTCAGCAGCTGTACCCTCTCTACTCTTCTGCACTCCAACTCCAGCATCCACTCTTCCTACTTCTTCAGTTTATGAATGCTTCTTGGCATATGGAAACAATAGCAAGTCGATGCCGGGAAGCGTAAAAAGCATAAATGAATTTGTTCATGCAGAGAAAAAAGATGCCGCCTACAGGGCCACGCTGAGATCGGGCGCAACGCGCGCTATGTGGGACCGCTATAG